CTAGATGGTAAAAGCTCAAATATTTTAATTTTTTCTTGTATAAAAGCAGCAGTATTCGTATACATACTTTAAATTCGTTTACATCTCTTCTTACTGAATCTGTCAGGTAAACCAACCAGAGCTTTGTATGCTGTGTTACAGTCCCTTTCTCTATTTCACATTACTAATTGAAGCAATATCCTATTATTACAAACTTCTGCCATGAGAAGAACAAAAAAATTTGACAGTAGACACTTTAAACACTGCACAAAAATTCAAACTCTTTTGTTCTTCTGCCATGAGAAGAACAAAAAAATTTGACAGTAGACACTTTAAACACTGCACAAAAATTCAAACTCTTCCCAAACTTACGTGATACATAAGTTCTAGCCAGAGCAATCAGGCAAGAAAAAGAAATAAAGGGTATTCAATTAGGAAAGGAGGAAGTCAAATTGTCTCTATTTGCAGACATGATTGTATATTTAGAAGACACCATCATCTCAGCCCAAAATCTCCTGAAACTGATAAGCAACCTCAGAAAATCTCAGGATACAAAATCAACATGCAGAAATCACTTCCATTGCTATACACCAATAAGAGACAAACAGAGCCAAATCAAGAGTCAATTCCCATTCACAATTGCTACAAAGAGAATAAAATACCTAGGAATGCAACTAACAAAGGATGTAAAGGACCTCTTCTCGGAGACCTACAAACCACTGCTGAACGAAATAAGAGAGGACACAAACAGATGGAGAAACATTCCATACTCATGGTTAGGAAGAATCAATATTGTGGAAATGGCCATACTGCCCAAAGTAATTTATGAATTCAATGCTATCCCCATCACACTACCTATGACCCTCTTCACAGAACTGGAAAAAAACCACCTTAAACTCCTATGGAACCAAAAGAGAGTGTACCAAGTCAAAAAACAACAACAACAACAACAAAAACAAAACAAAAACAAAAACAAAAAACCCACAACAACAAAGTGGGAGGCATCACACTACCTGACTTCAAACTATAATACAAGTTTACAGTAATCAAAAGAACATGATTCTGGTACCAAAACAGAGATATAGACCAATGGAACAGAACAGATGCCTTGGAGGCAATGCCACACATCTACAACCATCTGATCTTTGACAAACCTGACAAAAACCAGCAATCAGGAAAGGATTTCCTGTTTAATAAATTGTGTTGGGAAAACTGTCTAGCCATGAGCAGAAGCAGAAACTGGACCCCTTCCTGACACCTTACACTAAAATTAACTCCAGATGGATTACAGATTTAAATATAAGACCTAACACTATAAAAACATTAGAAGAAAATGTAGACAAAACCATCCAGGACACAAGCATAGGCAAGGACTTCATGACTAAAACACCGAAAGCATTAGTAACAAAATCCAAAATAGACTAGTGGGACCTAATTAAACTCCAGAGCTCCTGCACACAAAAGAAACAATCATTAGAGTGAATCAGCAACCAACAGAATGGGAAAAAAATTGTTGCAATCTACCCATCTGACAAAGGGCTAATCCGGAATCTACAAAGAACTAAAACAGATTTACAAGAAAAAATCAAACAAACCCATTCAAAAGTCAGCGAAGGATATGAACAGACTCTTTTCAAAAGAAGGCATTTATGAGGCCAACAAACATATGAAAAAATGCTCATCATCACTAGTCATTAGAGAAATGCAAATCAAATCCACATTGAGATACCATCTCACACCAGTTAGAATGGCGATAATTAAGAAATCTGGAGACAACAGATGCTGGCGAGGATGTGGCGAAATAGGAACACCTTTACACTGTTGATGGGAGTATAAATTAGTTCAACCATTGTGGAAGATAGTGTGATGATTCCTCAAGGACCTAGAAATAGAAATTCCATTTGACCCAGCAATCCCATTACTGGGTATATATCCAAAGGATTATAAATTGTTCTATTATATTACACATGCACATGTATGTTCATTGCAGCACTGTTTACAATAGCAAAGACCTGGAACCAACCCAAATGCATATTGATGATAGACTGGACAAGGAAAATGTGGCACATATACACCATGGAATACTATGCAGCCATAAAAACAATGAGTTCATGTTCTTTGTAGAGACATGGATGAATCTGGAAACCATCATTCTTAGCAAACTGACACAAGAACAGAAAATCAAACACCACAGGTTCTCACTCATAGGTGTGTGTTGAACAGTGAGAACACATGGACACAGGGAGGGGAGCATCACACACTGGGGTCTGTTGGGGGGGACTAGGGGAGGGACAGTGGGAGGTACAGAGCTGGGGAGGGATAACATGGGGAGAAATGCAGATATAGGTGACAGGGATGCAGGCAGCACACCACATTGCCATGTATGTACCTACGCAACAATCCTACATGTTCTGTACATATACCCCAGAAACTAAAGTGCAATAAAATATATGTGTGTGTGTGTGTGTATATATATATATATATATATATATATATATAAATGTGTGTGTGTGTGTGTGTGT